CAAAATATATATATATGACATTAAATTAAATAGATACTTGTTAAAATTGAATTTGTGTATTTAATTATAAAAGTTTTTGTTTTGCTTTTTGAGACAGAGTCTCGCTATATGTGTCAGTCTGTCACTGAACTCACTATGTAGCCCACCCAGGCTGGCCTCAAACATGTAGTCCTTCTGCCTCAACCTACTGAGTGCTGGGATTATAGGCATGTACAACCATGCCCAACTTAATTATAAATTTTTTAATTTTGGATTTTGTTAGTGTTTTTGAAGTATCACTGGTATATAAGAATATAGTCCCTTCCTTTTCCAGTGTAATTAATGGCCTACTACTGTGCTAAATATATTTAGCAATCTATAGCTTCCATCCTTAGATTTCTTTTCTTTCCTTTTTTCTTTTTTTAAAATTTTTTTGAGACAGGGTCTCACTATGTAGTTCAGGCTGGCCTTGAGCTCACTATGTAGCCCAGGGTGGCCTTACATTTGTGATCCTCCTGCTTTAGCTCCCTGAGAGCTGGGATTACAAGCATGCCCCACCATACCCAGGTATCCTTAGGTTTCTTTTTAAATATTTTCAATTTAAAGTTAATAAAAGCTGGGCATGGTAGGGCATGCCTGTAATCCAGCACTCAGAAGGGTGAGGAAGGAGGATCACCACGAGTTTGAGGCCAGCCTTGGCTACCTAGTGAATTCAAGGCCAGCCTAACTGCATAGTGAGACCCTGTCCAAAAAAAAAAGAAAAGTTAATATAATGGTGTGAAGGAACACTTTATTTTTTTATTCTAGTTATACCATTTAAAATTTTATTGCCAAGCATAAACCTGAACCCAGAGCCTTGCACGTGCTAGGCAAGTACTCTATCATTGAGCCACACCATCAGGCACCTATTTATAGTCTGTGAATTGCCTCTCATTTATCTTTTGATTATTTACATTTTCATATTAGTAAAATTTCTTTATTTTTTACCTTAGGGATGGTTGTGATTTTCTGTAAAGGGCTGGATAATAAATAGTTCAGACTCTGCAGGCTCTGAGACCCTCAGCTCTGTCACTGCAGTGAGAAAGCAGCCATAAGAATGCATAAAGGGGTTGGCGGTGTTGTGCTAAAATTCTACAGCATTTACAAACAGCTGATGGGCTGGATTTGCACAATGGCCATAGTGTGCTGATCCTGTTCCAGATACTTAAAACAAAGACTTATATAGACGCTCCTCATTTAAGGACGGAGTTGTGTTCCTGGGATGAGGTAGGTAACTGAACTGGTCACTAGGTGAGGAATAGTATAAAGTATGTACCTCACAACATTCACAACAAAGAAATGGTCAAAGGAAACTCCAACTTGATTTGCTTATACTTGCATAACTCTTACATGCCATGTTCCAATATATAACAACATAAAACTACAGTACTGTACAGTCAGCAAAAATTACAGTACTGTATAAATAAGGTATACTGTACAAAAACATTGAGGCTATATAAACAAGATGTAGAGAACAATACAAAAAAATGGGTTGTAAGTCCAAGTGGTGGATTGTAAGTCTGAACAGTCATTAAATAGATCATTAAACAAGGAATATCTGTGTTAGACATCATATTATCAAAATAATTCAGTGAAAATGATTTGTGTTTCTTAAGAACACCTGTTTTCCAATAACCTTTAAAATAAAATAGAGCAACTACCAACAAATCATCACATCAGCTGGGTTCAGGCACTATTGATCCCT